TGACCAAATTTCAGGTGCTTAGCAACCGACTCGCATTTACGACGGGTTGCAGTGTCCCGGGGTCTCTTTTGCAGTCTGACAAAAGCCATGGGGGGAAGCCACACTCACTTTACAGCCACCTTACCGACTTTAACAACTGCAGCGATTCGCTTAACAACCATGGCCAGAAATAGGCAGCCAAGCTCATTTAACAACCGCCTAGCTTGGCAAGAGAAATTTTGGGCCGAATTGTGGGTCGTAAGTTAAGGACTACCTGTTTAGATCAAGGTCCCCCTTTTCATTATTGGAAGCCTCTGCGGTTTTGTCTGAAACTTGGGTGCTCCTTTTTAAATTCAAATTTGCCAAAATGACGAGGAAAGCCCAATGCTGGCTCGGGCTTCCAGTCGGCCACTTCTTCAGCGGCTGCCGGTATTTTATTTCTCTATATTTAGTATCAATCCGGTTTTTAACGAGGCATCCTGTAGACTCAAGTGAACCTTGCTGCTTAATTGAGAACAGAACGGCAGCGGGGAAAGTGAAGTAGAAACCACATGGCCAAGCAGCGTGCCCGGTCACGGCATAACCAGGCGTGGGCCGGGCATCGCGCACGTCATCGGTCACGCATGTGTGTTTTTTTGAGTAGAAGTGGCTTCTTCTGAAATAAGCCAGGCCCTTTTCACGTGTCAGCCAGCCTGCTGCAGATGTGGTTCAGGCAGGGGACGTGCCAGAGCGCACAGAGTGGGCAGATGGGCACCAAGCAGCATTGTGCCTCATTCATTTGTCGGGCATCATTAGTCTTTGTGCTTCTAGTTATATCATCTGTCATGTGGCTAATTGCTGGCTGTAATCTCTTGGGCCTAACACGGCAGGTCAACACAGAATAAGCAGCCACTGAATGGAATTAATACTACACAGTCCAGATGATCTAGAGAAGGGGACGCTCATCCCTTTGTTGTCAAACCAACCGAGGGATTTTGTCAGTTTTTAAAAACATTTCTTTGAAACAAGCGTGGGAATAGGAGCCGTTGAGAGATTATATAAAGCAGAAGAGGAAAAACGCAAGAAAAAAATGAGGCATAAAAAGAACTTTCCTCCTCTGACTTCTCATCACCACCCCCGTGACAAGTGTAAATGCTTCACCTCCACTTAGCAAACAAAAATAAAGAGCTTCATCCCTTAATCCACCTGCTAACAATAGGCAAATTGAATAAGTCAGGTCTTATTCGATCCAGTGACCAGCAAAAGAGACAGACAAAGGAGTGTCAAAACATTTCTAAGGTGATAACAAGCTGGGGATTAAACAGAAGCCTGTGACCTAAATGGAATCTGATTTCCTAAGCACATTTATTTGGAAGGATTCCCGTTGGATTCCAAAAAGGTTATTTTTACATAACAAGGTCCCAGTGTGGGTATATGGTACCGTATACCCATTGGAACCTTGTTTCATAAAAACAACTTTTTTGGGAGTCTGTTTATATTGGATGGATATACTCGTGTATAAATCTGCCCTCCATCTAGTTGTGTTAGGCTACAACTGCCAGAATTTTCACAGTGTATATCAATTTTTCCCTGCTAGGTACAGATTCTGGGGGATATACCACATTTCAAGGACTCCAAGTTTGAAAGCAAAAAACTGTTTAAACCTTTTCTTAAATGTCTTCTGCTTATGGTTATGACTTTGCTTACCTATACAGGTACAGGTAGTCCTCAACTTAACGACCAGAATTGAGCCCCACGTTTCAGTTGTTAAGTGAGACGTTTGTTAAGTTAATTTTGCCCCGTTTTACAACCTTTCTTGCCACAATTGTTAAGTGAATCACTGCCGTTGATCAGTTGGTAACCCGGTCATTGAGTGAATCTGTCTTCCCTGTGCACTTTGCTTGTCAGAAAGTCCCAAAAAGTGACCACATGACCCTGGGGAAAAGCAGCGGTCATAAGTATGAACCAGTTGCCAAGCATTTGACTGTGGGGATGCTGCAACGGTCATAAGTCTGAGAAATGGTCATAAATCGCTTTTTCAGTGCCATTGAAACTTCAAACGAATGATTTATAAGTCAAGGCAACCTGGGTTAAGATTAGAAACGAGCATTGTTCTCTTCTGGTTATTTCCCATACAGCAGAGCCCATATGGTAGTGCCAGTTAAACATCTGTCAAATTTGCCCAAACTCTCCTTATGCCATACAGGTTCAAACCTGCACAACTTGTTGGTATTGAATTATAGAAAAAAAAAACAGTTAAGTGGCTAAGAGCAATAAAACATCTGCCTCCTAACTCCTGTCTCTCATAAATCACCTGCAGTCTTGAGTTATATATGTATGTATATATGTATATATGTATATATATACGTGCCAAAGTGCCATCTGGCCTAGATTTGTCTTTGACGGGTTTTGCTGAAGCTGGGATAAACGTTGGCATAGCTACTTCTTTCTTTGAAAAGTCAGGCTGGGGTGAACGGCAAGCAGTCCTCGACTTACAACCACAATGGAGCCCCCAAATTTGTGTTGCTAAGCAAAACAATTGTTGAGTGAGTTTAAGTGGGGTTTGCGGAGAGGAGGGGGAAGACTCCGGGGTCCTTGGTATTCTCTGAGCTGGGTTGTTTTCTTGCAGACATTTCATTACCAGACCAGGTACCCTCATCAGTGCTAGAAGGGGGTGGGGTTTTCCTCTCTCTATATACACAGCCAGGGCTAACACAGGTAGTCCTCAACTTACGACCACAATGGAGCCCAACATTTATGTTGCTAAATGAGAAAGTTGTTCAGTGAGTTTTGCCCCATTCTACGACCTTTCTTGCCATAGTTGTTAAGTGAATCACTGCAGTTGTTAAGTCAGTATCACAGTTGCTAAGTGAACCCGGCCTCCCCATAGAACTCTGCTTATCAGAAAGTTGCCAAAGATGATTGTATGATCCTGGGATGCTCCCAACTGTCATAAATACGACAGCCAAGCATCTGAATTTTGATCATGTGGCAATGCTGCAACGGTCGTAAGTGTGAAAAACGCTAGTAAGTCACTTTTTTCAACGCTGTTAACAACATTGGTCACTAAATGAATTGTTGTAAGTCGAGGACTACTGGTGGTCTTTGGAAGAGACGGTTCCTTGTGGGAATTTTTTCCTGAGTACGGGTAGTCCTTGACTTACAACAGTTCATTTAGTGACTTGTTCAAAGTTTATAACAGGACTAAAAAAGTGATTTACGACCGTCTTCCACACTTACGACCGTTGCAGCATCCCCGTGGTCACGAGATCAAAATTCAGATGCTGGGCAACTGACTCATATTTATGACGGTAGGCAATGTCCCAGTTTCACACGATCCCCCTTTGCGAGCTTCTGACAAGCAGAGTCAATGGGGGAAGCCAGATTCACTTAACAACCGTGTGACTCACTTAATGGCAGCGATTCACTTAACAACTGTGGCCAGAAAGAGCATAAAATGGGGCAAACCTCACAAATGTGTCACCTATGTGTCATAAATTTTGGGCTCACTTGGGTGTAACTCAAGGCAAGACTTGGCTGACTCTGTAAAACCTCTTGGAGTCGATTTAATGAATTAACGTCGCTTGCAACTTCTGGCTTTGTTTTGAACGCAGCCCCGGTAGATCTTCGGCCCTGCCTTCCCTCCTCCCCATGTTTGTTTACCAGCAGAGATTACAGGAAGGGAAGTAGGATGAGAAGAAGCTGCTGCTTGATGTGAGATTGAGCCCTTTGATCCTTCAGGGTTGTAGTTCACACCCATTGTGATTATATTTTTCTTTTCCAGCCTGTTTTCTTTCTTGAGGAGGAAGCCCAGCCAAATTTTGACAGGACCTTCCAATTCCCATAGCAATAGTCATGGTGACAGACATGTTTGTGCAAATAACCAGCATTTCTCACACTCCTTTATGGCAAAAACAAGTAAAAGCAAAACCCTGGGTAACAGGTAGTCCTCGACTTACGACCACAAGGGAGCCCACAATTGGAACTCACTTTTTTTCTGGGCCGTTGTAACTTTGAATGGTCACTAAAGGAACTGTTGTAAGTCAAAGACCACCTGTAGTTCTTTGTGTCAGCAGCATTTAGTTACCTGTGGCTCATTCTGCTTGAAAAATTACTGATATTATCTTGTAAGTCGACCAAGCTCATAATAATGGCAAAGTTGCATCAAAGTTTGAGGAAGGGAAAAAAGTCAGTTCTGCCCTTAAACCTGTGTAATGATTTCTCAGTGCTAGTAAAAGGGAGGCGCAAACAGGTTTTCTAAAACCTCGTGTACACTCAGCAGCATGTTGTGGCTGCAAAAACCAGAAATGGGGTTTATTTTAGAAGGTTCCCAGGGAGTAATTGCTTTATTTTATTCTTCTCCTTTGGTCCAGTGCTCTCTGGAATCCTGTATCCAGCTCTGAGCATCACATATGAGTTGCTAAGATTCGGAAGCAGTCTCAGTCTTGAAGACGTGTGGACTTCAACTCCCAGAATTCAATTCCCCAGACAGACAGAATTGAATTCTGGGAGTTGAAGTCCGCACATCTTCAAGTTGCCATGGTTGAAAACCATGAGACGGTAGTCCTCAACTTACAACACTTCATTCAGCGACCGTTCAAAGTTACAATGGCCCTGGAAAAATGGATTCGTGACAGTTTTCCCAGAGTTATGACCGTTACAGCATCCCCAGAGTCACGTGATCAAAATTCAGACACTTAGCAACTGGTATGTATTTATGATCACAGTGTCCCGGGGGTCATACGATCACCATTTGCAAACTTCTGACAAGCCAAGTCAATGGGGAAGTCCAATTCGCTTAACAACCATATTACTAACTTAACAACTGTATTGATTCACTGCAGTTGTTAAGTTAGTAATCTAGTTGTTAGGTGCAGGTGCCAATAACTGGCAAGAAGTGTCGTAAAATGGAGCAAAATTCACTCAGCAACGTAAATCCTGGGCTCAATTGTGGTCACAAGTTGAAGACTACCAATGTTCTGGGGTCTTAACCTGTGTGAATGCTAAATGAACTGTTTCAGTCCGTTCCAATTCATTCTAAGTCCAATGCAGTCATTATTCCTCCTGCTCTTTTCTCCCTCGACCAGGTGAGAGGATCCTGGGTTACGCCAAAGAGCCTTGTTACCTGTGGTTCGTCATGGAGTACTGCGAAGGGGGAGACCTGAACCAGTACATTCTTTCCCGCAGGCCCGACCCGGCCACCAACAAGAGCTTCATGCTCCAGCTGACCAGCGCCATTGCATTCCTGCACAAAAACCACATCGTGCACAGAGACCTGAAGCCGGACAATATCCTGATCAGCGAGCAGTCGGGAGCTCCGGTTCTCAAAGTCGCAGACTTTGGGCTGAGCAAAGTGTGCGCGGGATTGACCGCCCGAGGCAAAGGCGGCGGCGGCGACGATGACGACGACAAAAATGTGAATGTGAACAAGTACTGGTTGTCCTCGGCTTGCGGCTCAGATTTCTACATGGCTCCCGAAGTGTGGGAAGGACACTATACGGCCAAGGCGGACATCTTTGCGCTGGGCATCATCATCTGGGCCATGATCGAGCGGATAACCTTCATCGATGCCGAGACCAAGAAGGAACTCTTGGGGACTTACGTCAAGCAGGGGAGCGAGATCGTCCCTGTCGGGGAAGCGCTGCTAGAAAACCCAAAGATGGAGTTGCACATTCCTCAAAAACGCAGGACTTCCATGTCTGAAGGAATCAAACAGCTCCTGAAAGACATGCTGGCTGCTAACCCGCAAGATCGACCGGATGCCTTTGAGCTTGAATCCAGGATGGACCAGGTTACTTGTGCTGCTTAAAACTCAGGTCAAAGTGTTGGTGGGCTCTGAAAACAGGGTAAGTGGGGGCGGGGTCTTTCTTCTGATTCTCTGCCTATCAAAATGATCCTGCCATGAATGCAAGGGCTCGGGGGGGCTATTTATCCTCTTGCTGGTAGCAACAGGTTAGGGGCTGCAGGAAAGGAGGTAGCAATAGCATTTAGGGTTATATATTCCTCCCCCCCATAGCACTTTTAACAGTAGCACCCCCACCAAACTTCTGGGCTGTGGACTGGCATGCCAGAAACCAGGTCAGGCAAACAAGCAAAAAAGCCCATCTGTGCCCACGCACGAAGCCAGGCCCGCCCCCATTGGTCCACGGAAAACCCCCTTTCCGTGGAACCAGTCCCTGGCACCTCCAAGGGTTGAGGGACACTGCTTCAGAGCACTGTGGGCTGTTTACAAGGTAGAGCACTATTTGTATCTTGCCCCTAACAATTTGGATCCTTTATTTTATCAACCTCGGAAGGATGGAAGGCTAAGTCAATCTTGAGCTGGTCAGGATCGAACTGTTGGCATTGGGCAGTCAGTCTGTAAATACTGCACTTTAACCACTGCGCCACCGGGGGTATTTATATGGGGATAGAGGCAGCCCTCAACTAACTGGGGAGTTCAAGGTTGGACACCCCTGCCGTAAAAGAAGATATTGACCACAAAAAGTCTGACCTATTTATTGTTTGGAAGGCAAGTTAGGCCTTTCCTGCTACCACTATGAATTTACAGTCTCAGTCCAGGTAAAGAACTTTCTGGAACTTCTCCTTCCTTTTTAAATGCAGAGTGGCTTTGCTCTTAAGCTGCCTGTGGAGAGGAGACACTCCTTGACTTAGACCAGAACATTCGTCGTTAAGCAAGGCAGTTGTTAAATCAGTCAGGGCAAAGTTTACCTTTTTGGCCATGGTTATTAAGTGAATGTCGCTTTTTGCAGCGCCATTGCAATTTGGGCCACTAAACGAGTGGTTACAGAACGAGGATTGGGTGTAGTTTCTTCAGACCGGTGTTGCGCAACCTTAGCAAAATTAGGACGCTGGCCAGGGAGGATTCTGGGAGTTGTAGTCCAGGTTGAGAAGAGCGTGAGGGCCAGCTGTGATTGACCTCACAAGTCATATTCGGTTTTGTTTTTTCCTTTGGCTCCAAGCAAGGCCAGCAAACAACAGGCAGACACGCAGAGGCCCGTCTCTCTGGAGACATTCCAGACATAGCAAGATGCTTTCTAAACATCACCGTGTCACGAACAATAGTTTGGGCTTTTTGCAGGTTCTGAAGTGGCACAACAGATACTCCCTGGAGCTGCTGCACTCGCTCTCGCTCTCTTCACCACCCTGCCATCTTCTTTGTATTTGTGGATCAGCGCAGAAGCCAGCCGGAGAACTTCTAACCACAGCCTGCAATTTTAAATAATTGCCTGGCTGCTGGCAGGCAAACCCTTGTGTTCTGCTCGCCGAATGGAGCCTGTGTGGCTAACGGGAATTTTTCAGCTTTGGAGGGGCGTCTGCGCTTGCAAATTGGGTGTTAGGAACAACAGTTTGAGAGTTCGTCCCATATATTTTTTCCCTGCTCCAAGGTTTGGAAGAATCGGGGGGTGGGGGGGGGTGGCTTTAAAAAGTGCATTTTGCTTGTTGACTCCAGATATCAAGAAAAGAGTATGAAACTAGATGCTTTTCTACAGAGCAGTCTGAAGGATCATATTCATTAAAACAAGGACGAGGGGTACCAAAAGTGCTTTTTTATTTTTTTCAAGAGGCAACTGGACTTTCTGGTTTTTCTTTGAAGACGTTTTGCTTCTCATCCAAGAAGCTTCTTCAGCTCTGACTGGACGGTGGGGAAGGGAAGGATTTCTATTCCTTGCAGACAGCTGGTCAGTTGCATCCTTTTAGTGGGTTGTTGAGGCCACTTGGAGGTCTGCAAGGAGTATAAATCCTTCCATTCCCCACCAAACGCTTGAAAGCAAAACCAGAAAGTCCAGTTGCTTGTTGAAAAACAAAAACAAAAAAAAGCACCTTTGGGACAACCACGACCTGGATGACAGAGAATTTCCATAGACAAGGAGGGGTTATTATATTATCCCCTAAGCTGTCCACCCCTGTACTAGAGCAAAGTGCCTGAATTCAGAAAAAGCATCAGTTTGCTTGGCAGAAATTTGAAAATAGAACCAGTTGAGTGTAGTGGTGAAAGCGCTGGCTTAGAAACCAGGAGACTGAATTCTAGTCCCGCTTTAAGCATGAAAGTGACTGGGTGACTTTGGGCCAATCACTAGGAGACGGTGAGTCCTAGTCCCGCCTTAAGCATGAAAGTGACTGGGTGACTTTGGGCCAATCACTAGGAGACGGTGAGTCCTAGTCCCGCCTTAGGAATGAAAGTGACTGGGTGACTTTGGGCCAATCACTAGGAGACGGTGAGTCCTAGTCCCGCCTTAAGCATGAAAGTGACTGGGTGACTTTGGGCCAATCGCTAGGAGACGGTGAGTCCTAGTCCCGCCTTAGGAATGAAAGTGACTGGGTGACTTTGGGCCAATCGCTAGGAGACGGTGAGTCCTAGTCCCGCCTTAGAAATGAAAGTGACTGGGTGACTTTGGGCCAATCGCTAGGAGACGGTGAGTCCTAGTCCCGCCTTAGAAATGAAAGTGACTGGGTGACTTTGGGCCAGTCATTCTCTCAGCCCAACCCATCTCACAGAATGGTAGTTGTGGAGAAAATTAGAGGAAGGAGTAAAAGAAAAGAAAAAAAAGACAGGATAAAAAATAAATTAGTTAATGTTATGCAATGCAAATATGGGTATTTTAAGAGGCAGAGGGTTAATGAACGTCCGCCCACCGAGAGGAAGTTCTTATAATTTCCTTGAATTGGAAGCCTATTGGATTTTCTGCCATGGCTTCAATGGAACGGTTTAATTGTCTGATTGGTACCCGGTCTCTGCGTAAGATTTCTGGGCAGCTTTATTGCCGGTGGTCACCTGGGACATACGACCTCTCCCATTCGGCGTTAGAAAGAACATCCCATCCGGCCCTCCTTAGAAAAATGGCACGAAATAAATTCTCTATCTTTTTTTTTCCTGCTCATTTTGCCCTCAAAAACGCACCCCCAGGAAGCATGTTGGTGCATTGATTATACATCAGTTGAGAACAATTAAAATGTCAGCGTCCGAAGCCCCTTAGCCAAATAGTTGCTCCAAAATGAAGCTTGGAGGAAGTGCAGCGCCATTATTGATCTTGTTGTTTTCAGCTGTTGGTAATTAATTTAACACGGATACCTGCTGTTGCGTCAATCATTTAAAATAATAAACCCTATTGACCAAGCTCGATATCCAAATAATGAATATTCACGAAGTGGAGGTACTCCTTGACTTACGACCACAGATTACCATTGCTAAGCAAAACAGTTAAGTGAGTTTTGCCCCATTTTATAACCTTTCTTGCCACAGTTAAGATGTTCTTGTGGGGAAGCTAGGAGGATAACAGATAACAAGAGTTGGAAGGGACCTTGGAGGTCTTCTAGTCTAACCCCCTACTCAGGCAGGAGGCCCTATACCATTTGAGACTAATGGTTGTCCAATCTCTTCTTGAAAACTTCCAGTGTTGGAGCATTCACAACTTCTGGAGGCAAGTCGTCCCACTGATTAATTGTTCTAAGAATCAGGAAATTCCTCCTTAGTTCTAAGTTGCTTCTCTCCTTGTGTAGTTTCCACCCATGGCTTCTTGACTTGCCCTCAGGTGCTTTGGAGAATAGCTTGACTCCCTCTTCTTTGGGGCAGCCCCTCAAATATTGGAAGATGCTATCATGTCCCCCCTAATTCCTTCTTTTCATCAAACTAGATTAAAAACTATTCTTCCTATTTTAGCCCAAGTCTTCTTTGTTGCTCTTTTCTGCCGTCTTTCCAGAGTCTCAGCATCTCGTTTTATATCGTGACGACCAAAACTGGGTTGCAATATACCAAGTGGGGTCTTTACCAAGGCCTTATAAAGTGAGGAAAGGTGTATTGGGTAGGTTTGCCACCTTGAGCCATTTGTAAAAACAGTAAAAGGCAGGGTACAAATAAATACAGTAAAAATAAAATATATTTGCCACGTGACAGAAGAAGCCTTGCCTGACCTCTCCGTAATCCAAACACAAGCGATACTTCGAACCATCGTTTGTTTTTAAAAATGCCCACATGCTTTAGATTAATTCCAGGAAGAAGATGTGAAGTTTTGCATTCCCCAGGACATGACTGAACTGTTGTTGTTTTTTTAAAGAGTACCTGTCCAGATCTCTTTGATCCTTTTTGTAGACATCAGCTTCTCAGGCACGGAGATGATTATGGATTATGTAAGCCGCTGGCTCTCCTTTTGCCAGACTTGTTTATGAGGGCATCAAAGCTCCAGAGGAATGCTTTCCTTCCTCTGGGGTCAGCTTTGGAGCGCTGATGTTGCCTTCCATCTCTGTTTATTTTCCCTTTTTTTTTTCTTTTTCTTGCGGAGCCTATCCTCCCCACCCAACTTTTCAAATCCGTCTGGGTATGCCAGTTGCAATCGTTCCTGTGCCCATAACGCACCACGATGCAGGGTTGTATAACCAGGCTTTGCCCTCTGGGGGAAGAAAAAAAAAAATCTTTCAAAATTCAGGATGCTTAACACGTGAGTCCAGTGAACACAAAAGGCTGGGACAGAGCTGCCCCTTTGGCTGTTCTTTTTTTTTTTTTTTCCCTCGGGGGAGGGGAAGCCTAGCCGTCTGTCCCTATCCCCCCCTTGGACCAGAGCTGAGTGAGGAATGGGCCTTCTCCCAAAAGAGGGCTGCTCCTTACATAACAGAAAAGGAGGGGAGGGAGATACACACTGGCTGACCCCTTGCATGCTTCTGTGCAAGAATTGGGCTTTTCCTTGTTTACACAGACTTAGTATCTGGTCGGTCAACTACGGCATTTTCTTTCTTTTGAACTTATGGGAAGCTGGTTTCTTACTGTGTCAGCATCTCTTGAAAAAAAAAAAGTGCAGAGAAGAGCAACCAGGATGATGAGGAGACTGGAGACTAAAACATACGATGAACGGTTGCAGGAACTGGGCCTGGCTAGTCTAGGGAAGAGAAGGACCAGGGGAGACATGATAGCAGTCCTCCAATATTTGAGGGGCTGCCCCAGAGAGGAGGAAAGGGGGTCAAGCTGTTTTCCAAAGCACCTGAAGGCCAGACAAGGAACAATGGATGGAAACTGATTGAGAGAAGCAATCTAGAACTAAGGAGGAATTTTCTGACAGAACAATCAACCCACGGAACAGAAGTTGCCTTTGGAAGTTGTGGGAGCTTCATCCCTGGAGGCTTTCAAGAAGAGACGGGACTGCCATCTCTCAGAAATGGTGTAGGGGTCTCCTGCTTGGGCGGGGGTTGGACTAGATGATCTACAAGGTCCCTTCCAACTCTGTTAATCTGTAAAACAGAACTGACTTGTAGCCAGATCGGTGCGTCTGGCTACATTCAAGTTCACCCTCTCTAATCCTCAGTCATAAATTGAAGTAATCCTCGACGTACAACTGCATTTGAGCTCCCAAGTTACCGAGACAGACAGTTGTTTGAGCAGGGGAGTGGGCTAGAAGACCTCCAAGGGTTTTTCCAACTCTTGTTATTCTGTTGTTAATTATTTGACTTGGGCAATAAAAATTGGATGTGCCATATATATGTAGTCCTGCACGTTGGAAGGATTTTGCCAGATAAGATCTTCCAGAACTGTCTAGCAAGGTTCTTCCAACCCTGTTAATCTTTATCCTATGCTGCCTCTCCATCACAAGTCTTTAAATGTCTGTGTGTGTCTAGTTTAATGAAAAGAAGGATTAGAGGTGACATAATAGTAGTCTTCCAATGTCTAAGGCAGGGGTCTTCAAACTTGGCAGGTTTAAGACTTGTGGACTTCAACTCCCAGAATTCCTGAGCTAACTGGAAGAGGAATTCTGGGAGTTGAAGTCCACAAGTCTTAAAGCTGTCAAGTTTGAAGGCTCCTGGTCTAAGGGGCTGCCACAAAGAAGAAGGGGATCAAGTTATTCTCCAAAGCCCCTGAAGGCAGGATAAGAAACAATGGGTGGAAACTAATCAAGGAGAGAAGCAACCTGGAATGAAGGAGAAACTTTCTAATAGTGAGGACAATTAACCAGTGGAACAACTTGCCACCAGAAGTTGTGAATGCTCCAACGCTGGAAGTTTTTAAGAGACTGGACAACCATTTGCCTAAAATGGTATAGGGTTTCCTGCCTGAGCAGGGGGTTGGACTAGAAGACCTCCAAGGTCCCTTCCAACTCTGTTATTCCATTCTGTTCTGTACAAGTGCCAAACATGGACACTTAACGACAAAACAAAAATGTTTCCGTCACCACGGAAATGAGATGGTTGAGGAAAACTGCTGGAGATAAAATGCTGGAAAAATGAGACTATCAAAGAAAGAATTAGCATAGAAGAACCAATCTTAAACTACAGGAAGGGGGTTGGACTAGAAGATCTCCAAGGTCCCTTCCAACTCGGTTATTCTGTTGTGTTAAATATTTGACTCAGGCAGTAATAAATGGAGAGGCCGTGTATTTATGGTCCTGCACATTGGGAGGATTTTGCCAGATCAGATCCTCCAGAACTGTCTAGCAGAATAGTCTTCTTTGCCTTCCAGTCTTTTTAATAATTATTATTATTATTGTTGTTGTTGTTATTGTTATTAGTTTATCTGCTTTAGCTGATTCTATAAAATAGCTGGCCCTGCTTTGCGTGACGTGATGCCAATGAACAGCAGCCTCAGCGGAATTCACCCCTCCTAAGGGGCCAATTTTGACCCGCCATAGCTCGGATTTCAGAAACACCCTTTTGTCAAACCCAGCAAGGAAACTAGAGCACGAGTAAAAGCCATTTCTAATTATTGCATCCTTTTAGCCATTGTTTTCTTCTGAAGGCTAATTGGGCTTTTCCACTGGGGGACAGTGGAGGAGCAGGATTTGTCCCAAGAAACTTGGTGGCTGAGTTTGGGTGCTGGGAGCTAAAAGCCAGGCCAATCTCGTTTTCCCTTGTGACCCAGGTAAATGAGGAGGCAAGCTTTGTGAATTATTGATGATGTCACTGACTTTGATGTGTGTTTATCTTCCTGGCCTGGCTCTTCAAGTACAGGTAAGTCCTCGAATATGAGGGCTTTGTAGTGGAGGAACAATGTTGGGGGGTTCCTTGGTGCTCCCCGAGATTTGGTTCTTTCCTTGCAGGCTTTCGTGATGGAACTTGGTAACATCACCAGCGCAAAGCCCACTGCCTTGTAGCTCTGATGGTGTTACCTACTTGGGTCATGAAACGTCTGCCAGAAAAGAAGTAGAACAGAATAGAGTTGGAAGGGACCTTGGAGGTCTTCTAGTCCAACCCCCTGCTTAGGCAGGAAACCCTACTTCAGACAAAATCTCCTTGGAGTGCCAAGGACCCCACAGTCCTCCTCTTCTTCCCCCTCCTTGCTGCAAACCCTGCTCCCCTCTAGCACTGCTGATGTTACCTAGTTGGGTGATGAAACATCTGCAAGAAAACAAACCCAGCTCAGAGAGCCCCAAGGACCCCACTTCAAGGAATTTCAGAAAACAAAGTTTGCTTCTCCAGTGGCACTTAAAAATCAACCAAGTTCAGACCCTTCACTGCACAGTGCCTTCGTAATCAATTGTTAACCGATCTTCAGCATAATTATATTAAAGTAGCCAATAACCCAGCGTTGCCCAGGTATTTATTTATTTATCCTAATCCTGTATTACACAGGAAAAGCCCCTGATTTCAGCGACTCGGAGAAAACGTAATTTGTAATGCTGGATTTTCCCCCTTACCAGAGAAGACCCCCTTGTGGAGTACTGTGAAGCCGTTACCATGGCAACTCCACAGTACTGTACAGTAGAAGTCATTTTAAGGCAGTACGGTAGAAGCCATTTGAACAACGGGCTGTATCTTAACATATACCCCAAGAGGTGTTAGGGGTATCTTACTCCCACAGTATTTGTTTCCAGAGACTAAGTAATCTGTGTACCAAGTTTGGTGAAAATTGCTCAAGGCATTCCAGAGTTATGCTGGAACATACAAATATATATATATATATATATATATATTTAGAAATTAAATAAATTAATATGAGGGCTCTGATAATAGACATTTCACAAGCACTTTTGTTTTTCTTTCTCTTTTCTTGCAGGATTTTTTACAGGGACCTGGACTCTCCCCGAAATACATGCAAACTTAAGAAGCGACTGACAAAAGACACCACATTCTCTGGTATCGTGAAGCAAGCTTTGAAACTTGTCTGGAAGCCCCAGGAGATTCAAGGAGGACAGGAGCTGCTGCAACTACTTCATTATAGGACTATTAAATTCTCTTTTTTATTTTTATTATTATTACATTTCCCCCCTTCCTTTTTTTCCCCCTGCCAGCTCAGCTTTCCCTGTTCATTGGATCTGCGCAATTCATCTGGAATTCCTCTTTCACTCAAAATACTGGGGGGAAAAATTCCCCAGCAAATAATTTTCAGTTGCTGCTACTGTTAAGTACCAGAATTCTGGGACAAAATGTTAATAAGGATTCTCCCCACCCACCCCAACTCTCCTAATATCTTTGAGCAGGGTGATATTTAGTTGAAAGTATGGAGATCTGTGACAAAATAGCCTTTTTGTGTGTGTGTGTTTGTTGCTTTGGTTTCTGGTTGCTGCTGCTGCTGCTTAGCCCTCAAAGCTGGAAACACATAGCTGAATAAATATTTCTCCTGCTTCCCTTTTTCAAAATGACCTACATCAGGGGACCTAAATACATGATATATCGGACAGGGATATTTAAGACACACACACACACACACCCCTTTCAAGGTTGCTGCTGGCAGGGGTGGGATTCCCCTGGCATAACAACCGGTTCGGTGATCGTGCACTTCCTCGTGCAACCTTCCGTTGCAGCAAACCAGTTTGGAGCAAGCTAAACATCGGAAGAAGGGGGTCTGCCTGAACCGGTCCGAACCGGTAGAGTGGCTGTTGGGTTTAGAAAGCCAGATCTAACCATCACAGGAGCCTGTGTTTCTGTGGGCCAAATTTTACAGGAAGGTGTGTGGGATTTAGAAATGGTAGAAAGCATCCATAGAAATGCTCTTTAGGTAGAAAAAGTTATCATCCAATCTGTATTCTAGGGATTAGTAGCTTACTTAGCTGGCCCTTGGCTGGCTAAATTCAGCCAGCCTGAAATCAAGTGGCTGTCTTAAACATCGCTTTTTCCTATTTTAGCAGTCAGTCTTTCTTAAAAATGTCTTCCCTTCCGTAGAAGTACAGGCCCTTTCTTACTTCTTTAAGGCTTCTTCGAAATTCAGGGTATCTTTCTCACCATTACAGCCGTCGTGTGTCTACGTTGATGCACCCACAAAAGAAATGTTCCCAGTTTTAAACTACTGCCCTAATTAGTTCTCCCCTAAGATGATCATTCCGTGGTTCTTGAAAGTCTTAAGCCAGGTGCTCCTCCTCGGTGACGGGGATGCTAAGCTGACCACCTGCTTTGAATGGACTGTCCTCCTTTAAATTGGCCCTAGGGTGGTCTTGGGATGATCACTCTTCTTCCAGCGGCAGGGAAGGCAGGCTTGGATCAGCATCATAAATCCGAATCGGTGTCTTTTGTCTTTTGCCACTGATATAAAGCGAAGCGGGTAATTTCAATTGTTACCAAGGTCGACCGTATTGTTTCTAGAGGATTGCGCGCTGCAGTTCTTGAAAAGGATTTACTCTACAAAATACCGGCGTGACGTGTCGCCAGGTTTAAACAATGAATATCGGTCTTATTGTGGATGTAACATAGTTTACAAGGTTTTTCATTTGTGTATGGTTGACAAGACCGATCTCCAAAGGGGTCCTTTTGAGATCCAAGATGAATGGATTCTAAAACTAAAACTTTTTCCCGAGAGAAATTTCATGCTACCGGATGTTTCTGTTACCGTCTGAACTAGCCAGATTTTTTTGAGGGGGGAGGGGAAGTTGGATCCAAATTTGGAGTGTTGACAAGCCCTGTTTTGAACTTGTTGCCCCAAATTAAGATTTGAGAACTCCCCTTTTTTCCTACAGAGGTCCATTCAGCCATGCCTCCTAGGATCCCCGGGCACGAGCCATGTCGCATTTGCGTTGTCAACGAGTCCCGCGACCTTCCGGCGAAGGGACCCCCTCACCTTTGACTGCTGCACTTTGGAGGGACGGTTGCGTGGGGGCGAGAGAGTGTGTTTGGAGGAAGCCTCGCGGATCAGATGCTGTTGTGCGATTGCCTTTCCCGTTGGCGAGGGTTACGACGCTTTTGTGGCGGTAGCTTCTAGCTCTTTTGTGGACTTCAACTCCCGTGCTGGCTGGGGAATTCTGGGAGTTGAAGTCCGCGGGTCTTAAAAGCTGTGGACACGCCTGGCTTAGACCTTATGAAAGTGCCTTATTCAAGCTCTTTGCAAGAAATGCATGAAAAGTTAAGGAAGGGGCTCTTTTTTGAGTTGTGGGTTGTGCTTCAGTGTAGCTCCACTTTGCAATCTCTTGTCCATGGTGGTTTTCTTCTTGGTTGCCCACAAAAATGGACGAGAGCCTCTCCTTGCTTCTGGGTGTGAACTTCCTTTAACTCAGGGGTCTCCAACCTTGGCAACTTTAAGACTTGTGGACTTCAACTCCCAGAATTCCTCAGCCAGCTTTGCTGGCTGAGGAATTCTGGGAG